AGAAAGAAGGATTTCGAGTTACCTTGAGAGAACCCTCGTTGCAGCAACTCTTACAGTAGTGTCCTGTAGACGCCTTTACTTAATACACCCTGAAAGACAAAGTCTCTCATCAGGCCACTTCTGTTTGTGCATATCACTCCCCCCACTCCTGTAAACCCGGTATGTCTGTTGTTCGACATAAATCTTGTCCAAAAAGGTTCAAGAACGTTATCCTGTATGTCTACAAAGTGGTAACAGCGAATCTGTAAGCAGTGGAATAATGAACACCTCGAAATTGGTGATTCAACAACCACCTCTTATTTCCAAGTTATTTACAAAGGGAAAAGAAACTTGCCAAAGTCAGTACACATGCGCCTCCTTTGTATTGGTGAGGATTTAGGAATTCAATTAGAGCTTGGCACATGAAAGAGACTTGTTCAACACTTGCTCCTTTCACTGTCATGATCTTTAGTCTTTCAAAACGTTACCCACCCACCCGCCTCTAACTCGTTCATTCCATTCATTCTTACATACTACCGACTATTCCTTGTTTCTATGATCACCCTGAAAACACTTCATTAAATATTTTGTCATATTACTCAGCTTGATACTAGAACTTGCTCAAACTCACCTTTACTTAGTTTCTATGATAATTTGAGTAATACTCACTAATCTGAGCAAGCCTTCATTTTTATATCATGCCGTCTTTTGGCTACTTTTTAACATTATCAAGCATCTTAGGAGGATTTTTAAAGCCACCCTAGGAACTGCTGAATTAACCAGTCATGTTTCGGCATTCCGGTTAGAAAGGTAGTTTTGCATAAAATATAGAAGCCTATTTGGCTATTTCAACCTTTGCTAGTGTGGACCCTGGAGACTTTCTTTCGTATTTTGACTATTCAGAGTGAAAACAATATTTTTATGCATCACCTCGTTTGTTGCCATGCTAAGCTAAGTCCATTCTTCCATGAAACGAATTCTGCGTTCTCAGCATAAAGCTTGTACATAAATGTGATTATGCAGCTTACGATTACGTGCTACTGAAGCCCTATGTTCCACTAGGAACCCAAGGGACTAATAATAATAATAATAATAATAATAATAATAATAATAATAATAGTAGTAATAATAATAATAATAATGATAATAATGCAGCTTATTGAGTGAAATAGCCGAAAAAAGTCTCTTCGCTCGTTATCTGCAATCACAGAATTGTTCGTACGAGGTTTATATATTGTCTATTACCTGAGGATGATGTAGAAATATTTTGATGACAGTGAAGTAAACGGTGATTGGGAAGAGGAGTATATGAGTGTCACTTTACACTAGCTAACAGGTGTGTAACTACAATATCAGTCATTAGATATCAGAGAGAAGAAATACTGTGATGACTCTCCAGCGTAAAGTTTAAATTAGGGTGGAATTTATAATCATTAAACCACCTAATATAATTTCTGACCAATAGAAGTCAGGAGAGTGAAATTGTTGAGCAATGTAAATACGATTCATCCATAACAGTTCACATCGCTTTTAAGTGTAGAGTTCATCCTTAAAATGGCTGAAAATCAACTCGTGGTCATCATAATCACCTTACCGCATACTGATTCCTCTGTTTGATCTGCTCAATTCAGTGTCTGTCGTCTTGATAAAAGAATCAATTCATCGATACTATGAACAATTAGTCATAAACTCCATTTCTTCGTTTTTGTTGGTGTATTATCGGAACTCAGAAATCATCTACTTATCATTCTACTTTTCAGTATGAATAAAAAATGAAACATGAGAGTTATGGTTCATTGGTTCACTGTTCAGGCTGCCAACCGCTTCTTTAAGGCATAAGTTTGAAACTCCCTCCATCTGTTTTAAGTTTTTAAGTTCAGCAGTAAGTCGCATTGATGTTAAAAGCTAAGTAGAGGTGTGGATTACTGCCTTAGTCATAGTTCATTTTCATACACAGTGACATATCTTAGCCTTCAGTGAATAAATAACTAATTGAAACAATCTACCATGATTAATTTATTAGTTGTTTTTTTGCGTGTAATTCCATTCTCAGTGAACACGTAGGTATGACATTTTTGATAAATTCACAGTAAATAACCATCAATCTTTGTTCATGTGTGTGCTTGTGTGCGGATTTTTGTGTTGTGTCCTATTAATGACAGAACAGATTGAGCACAGTTGTCTGATAATGTCATAAATAAATGAAATATTCAAGTTGTTCTGAATTATCGATTAGTGATTTAGTTTATTGTAATGTTGAGTTAAAGATGAGACCACTAATGGAAATTAACTTGCATACCATTGTTATCTCATGTTGGTGTTTTGGTGATGGTTGTGAATGTTTTTATTGTTATTACTGAGATAACAGCACACGTATGCACACAAGCATTCATCACAACACTGCACATACTGCATACTACAGTGTCACAGAAGTGCCAAAATCAGAGACGATCACCAAGATTCAGAGAAACGCTTGCACGGACAAAATTACTTACACATAAACACACATGTGCATGTAGATACTTAACTATTTCAGTTACGACCGTCTCCCACCCTGCACGCCATCACTTTGAATTCCTCGTCTCCATTAATATCAAGCACTTACTACTTTTTCGGAATGAAACATAATGGTACTATGTAATTTTACTTTGAGTTGCAGTTTAATGCAAAAAACGTTTTCAGAATTTGATGAAATCACCGAACATTGTATTATTTACTGCTATTTTAATTCTGACTATAATGAATTGAGAAATCCTTCAGAAGTTGCAATACTTTACTACAAAAGCTGCGAATAAATGTGCATGAGTAGTAGTAGTAATATTACACGCTTCATTTGCCACAGTGAAGTTTTTTTACACTGTGATTTATGGTTGTGTCATACTTTCTACACCTGACATTAAAATTATGGATGGACCTCTGTGTTTGTGTATGTGTGCACATCGTCTTTCCTGTTAGGTAAAGAAAATATTGAAGGGGAAAACCAGAAAATAATAATCAGTGAATGACAGAGAGGTGAAGGAAGTAATCACAGAACTGAAATGACTTCAGATGACGCACAAGTTGTGACTTAGTTAAAGGCCTGTTAAACAGCCTATATTCATTTCCCGTTGCTATACACAACCGAATTGCCCAACCTCTGCTGGTAGATGAGCTCCTATACAGATTCTGTGGTATTGTCAGCTATTCATGATGCCAGTCGCACAAGAGGTGGCCATCGTGTTGCAGCGGCCTACCGGAAAACGCCTTGGTATTTGAAGCGATGAGTTTTGGGTTCGTTTCAGTGGGACAACATCACTCTAGGATGGAGTACAGGTCAGTCAAGCTAACGAGTCCCAAAAATAGGACAGAACCTGCGTCCTAGATTCCACTACCAGTCACCAGGATGAACAGAAGTGATGTTCATCTTACCTTCATGAAATTTATGCGTGTCTCATTGTGACGCTTTCAACTTACTTCCCTTTCAACGGGAACTTACAAGTACCCGTTATACAAGATGTAACTCTTCTGACCCAGCGGACTAGTGGAGAACACTTCGGCTTTTGAAGCGATGGGTACTGGGTCTGAGTCTCGGGACGACATCACTCGATGAATCCAATTGGGACGAAATATGCGCCCTAGATTCCACTCTTAGTCACTAAGATAGTTCTCATACATAATTTGAATAGAACAACAAAAATCTGCAATCAGCTTGTAAACTAGGTAGTAATACTTGAGACAAGAAAATAACAATAAAGAATCGTTTTGACTAATAAGGCTGGATGGCTGAAAACAGTAAAACGCTAAATGTTAGCCATCCCCTTGGCATTAAGCATCATGTTACTATCCATCTGTAAAGAATACGTCAAATAATGTCACCTCTCATCCTGTTGCTACTGATTCGTACACTAATATCTGCGACACATCCGTTTCTTGTGAAGTTTCTAACTTATAATAATGACGATTCCGTGATCTCTGAGCTTTGGTACTTTGTCGCGGACGTTTCCTAACCAGCCTCGGTGACATCCTCAGCACCAACCTCATAAAGAAGTGAAGTTAGCGCTGAGGTTATCAGGTACTAAAATCATGGGAAATTAATCTATGAAAATAAACATGATGGTAATTACTCTTTTGCTAATATAACTTTCAACACTAACAGCAATACTCTACGTGGATGCCTCTGAATTGTTTCGGATAGCTTGATTGCATTTGTCCATCTCCTTTAGCTAGATTTAGAAGCCTGGATTTCTCTACATGGTCCTATTGGTCAGTGTCGCGTTACGGTTTGAGCACTGTATAAGCTTTATTGCCCCACTTTTGTTTTGATAGAAGTGTGCACCACATTTTTTTATTTGAAGCGAGTAAATAACCTCATGAGTAGATCTACTTTTTCTAAAGGAAACTTTCCAATAAGTTTCCCTATTGCAAATTCAAAATAACTTGTGTTTTATAGTCCCTAAATTGTTATGTTCAGGTGTCATGACTAATTTATACATAGTCGAACATAATTTTCTCGTATGCTTCATGATTATGCGAAGAATGCTTGGCACAGATATATTTCATCAGATTAACAAACAGCTTCAGTTGTGGAATAAGAGTCGAGCCTTTTGAGTACGTGTTAGTAACTAGATAGAGATCATTCCACCGAGGGTAGTTTTTTCCCGGAGTAGGTGAAATAATTAATTGACTTAATTAACTTGTTTGTCTTCCTTCAGCGGAAGTACATGTGCTAAGCAGTTTCAAAGAATATTTTCTTACTTAGTGTCCGCATAAACACTAAGGAAACATCCTCAGTAGTTCTCTTCAAGTTACTGAGAAAACTTAATTTTACTAGAGTTCTAGCCTATTGAAAAAGAATTGTCCATTCACTTTGATTTGACTTTCAATATCTAAAGTAAATGTCTGCCGGATATTCTTCTCTAGCTTGTATATATATTAATCATTATTCTTTCTAAATTATTTCAGAAATTTCACTCATAAATGAAGTATAAGAGTTATTAAAATGGCAATCCAAATGAGTAACTGATGTTTTCTTGGGGATTTAGGTTCATGAAAATCTTACATTGGCGGTCAACTCAGCTGCCTCAATCGGTTGCTGTGTGGTGAATACTGGTCCAGAGGATATTATGCAAGGCAAACGACATATCGTTCTAGGACTCATCTGGCAACTTATTCGTAGAGGTCTAGTCGATACAATTACATTGAATAAGCATGGTGAGCTATTGGCTTTATTGCATGATGGAGAGACGGCAGAAGATCTGGCGGCACTGAAACCAGAGGAGATATTAATGCGTTGGGTCAACTTCCACTTACATCGTGCTGGGTGTGACAGACGTATAACAAACTTCAATTCAGATCTGGCAGATTCAGTTGTATACGCATATTTAATTGAACAGATTGCTCCATTGGATAAACGCCGTAATTTAATGTCTGCTGATGAAATTCTCAGTTCAACTAGTCGTCAAGAAAGGGCGATTAATGTGTTAAATAACGCTGAAACATTGAACACGCCATTTTTACTTGCTCCAGAGGATATTTATTTAGCGGGAGAAAAGGATAAAGACAACAGAGATAGGTTGAATTTAGCATTTGTCGCCACCCTATTCAATATGTATCCAGGTTTAGATGCTGTCCGAGGAGATATGTTAATCGAAGGAGAAACTCTAGAGGAAAGAACTTACAGAAACTGGATGAATTCACTTGGTGTCAAGCCGTATGTAACATTTTATACACAGATCTTAGTAATGGGTTAGTTCTACTACAATTGGTCGATAAAATAAAGTCTGGTACAGTGGACTGGTCATTAGTTGTGCAGAATTTCGATCCCAAAAGACGACTGTTTCAAGAGCTAGGCAATTGTAATTTAGTCGTCGACTCAGCCAAATCAATCAATATACGCTTAGTTAATGTGAGTGGTGAAGATATACAAATTCGTGATCGAAAATTGATTTTGGGTGTTTGTTTCACACTGATGCACGCCTACATGTTCAAATTACTCTATGAAGTGAGTTGTTACAATCGATTTTCAAGCTAAAATCTAATTGTTTCTCAAATGTTGCTTTTTCTAATATGAGAATAGATTTTTTGTTCTAGATACAGTAAGTCATTATCTTTATTCACAATAGATCATCATGTACGCATTAGAAGAATCCAGTGGTTCCAAGAAGTTAAAGTGGATTTCGTTTCTGTTCCTTTGGATGAGTAATACACTCACTGTGCAACACCAGGGAACGTCGTTGTTTTCAAGAAAAATAACTCTGCCTCATTAGTCTATTCATCAAACTTTAAATGATAGTTTAAGCATCCTGTAAATGTTTGCTAATATGGATTCATGTAGTTATCGGAGGATATAAATTTTATTGAGTAAATCTAGTGTTTAACAACGGTACTATTGAAAGGGAGATTAGATACCCGTTCTTGACACTTTTTAATGATCATATTTGATGAAGAATTGAGGGAAGTAACTACAGGGAAGATAGTACTGATCATAGACTATTATCAGTTGAAGAACCACCGGAAATTTGGGAGTAATGGAAAGCTGTTTCATCCTAGTATGGGTCACGCATGCAGTGCTCACGAACAGCCCTCAGAAAGATTAAACACAGGACTGTAAGGTCTCATTGGGAGCCATCATCCCATTGAGAATTCTTTTTGTTCAGTACAACTTGATTGACCGCAAACATCACGTCGCTAGATCATAATTTCAGGAAATCCAACTCAAAGTATGTCATCATTGATTAACAGACTGCAGTTCATTTGTTGCTTTCCAGGGAGTGACTGGTTTTACGGTTATTTTCATCATAGGTCGACAGTGAAGTTGAAGAAAGTTAGTGAAGCAATCGAACCTAGTACCATGATTTGACATGTTTGTGAACATTGAAGGATTTGAAAGAACTCGCTAGATTGGTGATTGGTTTTTTTCCAGTGTTGATGAGGTGGAATAAAATAACTGCTTAGTGTGCGTTTGTTTTTACTGGTTTCTAAGCTAATGTCAATCCATTATGAAAGCTTATATGTGTAAGTTTAAACATAATGCCAACATGTTATGTGCTATACTAAAACTTACTTATATGATGATTAAATCAGACTCGAAGCCCAACTTCTTTCAGGGAATTAGTAACGACTACGGATTAGGTGTTTATAGTGTGACTAAAGGTCAGGTCATTTTGAAAGCTGTTAAAGTAACCGGGAAGGTTTGACAATTTCTCGAAGTCTCTGTCAGACACCAGCTAGTGGACTTATTGTGTAAGACATACTTTTTCAACAGACTAACTTGCCAAATAATCAGAATGAGAGATCAATCAAGTGAATCAGTCACTGGGAAAGTAGTCAGGGATATTTAACTTCTGTGTGAGGCTTCGTTTACTTACGATTTCAGTTTAGCTCATGAATGAACGGATATGGTTAGGTTCGATTCAACCTCTTAAAAGTACTGGTTTTAATCGCTGAATAGTTTTCATTTTAAAAGGATCTATGTGAAGATGAATATGCTACTTAGTCTACCTTACTCTATACCGAGTATCTCGATTTGTCATTTGATTGTTGCTCTCTTTGTTCTTCATACTTTAGGCTACACAGGGTGGAAGAGATCTTCCATCTGACGACAGAGATATACTTTGCTGGGTAAATGAACAACTGACTGAGGCAAAAGCTAGACCAATCAGTAGTTTTCGTGATCCAGCCATAAGTACTGGGATACCAGTGCTTCAACTACTTGAACATATCAAACCAAATTCAACAAATAAATCAATTTGGCAACAAGGAGACGGTGATGATTTTTCAGTGTGTCAGTATGCAATATCATGTTGTCGTAAAGCTGGAGCTAGGGTATTCACTCTACCAGAACATTTGAGGGATTTGAATGGTAAAATGATTCTGACTCTTTTCGCCTGTCTACAGGTGTTATACTTTAGTTTGAAACAAAAAGCTGAGAGTAAACAGAATCGTGTGAAGAGTAATGAATTGAAATGGTTGAAATTACCCGATGATGATCAGAAGTTAGGAACGGAATAATTGAATAGTGAATGATTTGTTTATCATACAAAGCTGTCACCTTTATTGTGATTGAATACATTCAGAAGTAATATGAAGCAACTTTTCATGGAATAAATACAAGCGCTTTCAATAAATTTCACTTATTAGAAACATTACTTATAATAAAAAGTATAATTTGTATGAAGACCTCACATTTTTGCATCATTATTCTGACTACTTCTAAAAATCACCCGCAATGTATTTCATGTTTCCTTTACAATTATTGTCTATTCCTTCATAAATTTTGCCCTTCAGTGTTGTTCTCTATGTCCTTTACATTGAAACAGATAAAAGTCTTGATTAAGCAAAAACAGTGTCTGTTCGTGCAGTTAATCAATTTTCCTACGGAAAATGTCAGCCCACAATAAAAAGAAATTCAGAACGAAAATTCAGTACTTTTCTTAGTTTATTTACGAATGTGATATGTATTCTTCCCAACTATCGAAACAGTCCCATTACAACGCTCCAGGGTTCGTCCCAATGCAAGAACACTGAAACCTTATGCTCTGAATTAGGTTGACTCACTGAGATTTTATTCTACCGAAATTTTGAAAAATGTTACAGAGAGATTCCACGCTGTAGAAGAGCTTCCGGAAAATTTAAAGCAGGAATTTTTGAGTTATGTGGTGAATGTGGTCAATGAACGGAAGGAAAAGAAGTGCATTAAGTTGCTCAAAAGTCTGGAAAATCGAACATCAGGGATGAGATTTCCGATTGACCCTGGTCAGTTTGTGTACAATTTTTCTAGTATCGATCTTGATGCTATACAATTAGAAGTTTTGTCACTTGGGCCAAACTTTTGTGATAGTCGTTATACGATTAGTAAGATGGAAACGGAAATACACTTTGAGAACATGTGTACACAAACGGAAGGTTTTGTACTATCATCTAGTGAAGACGTTAAGAGACTTAAGACTACACTCGTTGACTCCTGCCTAAAGTACGCCAGTAGTGGGAACGGTATAAAGAGTATTTTGACGAAAAAACAGAAACTTTGAAAAAGCTAAAAACAAATGCAAATATCGTAATTAATAAGCCAGATAAAGCATCAGGAACGGTTTTATTAGTTAAAGAAGACTACATAGACAAAATGAATGCTTTACTTAGTGATGAGATTAAATTTCAGAAATTAGTCGCTTATAGTGATACGACAGAGAAAACCGAGAAACATCTAACCGAATCACTGAAAAAGATAAAACAACAGGGTTTGATTTCAGAAAGAACCTTTGAAATGCTCTTACCTTCTAAAACCGTTAAACCTAGACTTAATGGTCTACGAAAACTGCATAAGAACGGTCTGCCTTTCCGATCAGTTCTTGACATGACAAACTCTCCTTATCATACAACCGCAAAATGGTTCTTACAACTCTTGAAGCCTCTCTACAAAGAAGCTGTGAAGTACAGTCTCAAAGACACCTTTGAATTTGTTGGAGAGACTGAGGATCTGAAAGTAGATAATAAGTTAATAATATCGTGTGATATTTCATCTCTTTTTACTAACGTTCCTTTAATGCAGACAGCAGACTTTATTTGCAACGAACTAACGAAGCATGGCATGGAAATAGATATTCGAGTCTCCGCACTGAATGAACAACTTCTGAAGTGCGTGATGAAAGCAAAATTCCTTTTCAATGATGAACTCTACGGGTAGTTTGATAGTGTAGCTATGAGGTCATCCGTTGACCAGCTCTTAGCAGATTTTTTTGACAAAACTAGAGAATGGTTCACTGAACGAAACTATTAGCCGTTTAGAGTTATATCATAGTTACATGGATGATACTTTTATAGTTCTCAAAAGTGAGATTGATAAGAATGCTGTTCTGGATAAGTTCAATAGTGTTCATCCGGCAATCAACTTCATCATAGAAGAGGATAAAAATGACAGTATCCCATTTCTTGATGTTCTGTTGGTAAGAAGATTAGATGGAACTCTGAAACAAAGTATATATAGAAACCAACATCAACAGGTCAGTACATGCACCTCTTTAGTGCCGTACCCCTCCAATATAAAAGGAACTTAGTGAAATGCTTAGCATTCCGTGCCACAGCTATTTGCTCAGATGATGCTTTAAAGGAAGAGTGAGCAGTCATCCGTGATCTGCTTAGCAGGGATGGCTACCCAGACAAGTTTTTAACTAAACACATGAATATGACGAGGGTTAAGACAAGAACTCCAATAGCTCCTAAGAAGCAAATCTTCTTGAAGCTGGAATTCAGGACTATTATTGCTTGTGAGATCATCACACAGCATATAAAAAGAGTCTTGCATAAGGCCTTCCCAGCCGCTAAATTATGTCTCATCTTCTAAAACCGCGCGATTCTAGGTGCAAGAAATAAAGACAAACTTCTTGGTTCTGCCACTTCCATGTTAAGTTATCAATTCAGCTGTTCCTGTGGAGCTAGTTATGTTGGGCGTACAATGAGGCAGTTGCATCATCGAATTTCTGAGCACTACCCATCATGGCTGAGCAAGGGACAAATAAGAATAATAAACAGCCCCATACTTGCACACCTAGTTGATACGGGACATCAAGTAGTTACTAGTAAAGCTTTCAAAGTCATTTATCAGATTCCAACTATTTACTACATGAATTACGCACTCGCTAACTTTACATAACAGAGACGATTCCAGTTCACCTTTACAAACCTAGCCTTTGTATTCAAAAAAAGTTTGTTCGACCACTTTCATTCATGTGGCCGTCAACATGATGTAACTTCTAGGATTATTCTGTACACCTCTTCCCCTTCTTGTTTCTATCAATATTCATTTGTTTCCTTATTATTGCATAATTATCTATTGTTTATAACTGAGTACTTATCAAAAATCATTCCGCTTACCTAAGAATAGCCTGCTTCATATTTCCAATTTCAGTAACTCTGTTGATTATTTACATCTTTATTTCTAAAACATTACCACGTGATTGGTAATTTGATTAAATTGTAAAACTATATATTAGTCTAGAGCCCAAGATGAGGACCTAATTGAAAAGGAATATACTTTTTCACTCAATCAGTCTTGTTCTAAATGTCTAAATAAAAATATTCAATGTAATGAAGAATTAGCCAATTCCAATTCAGCAAGAAAATCTTTTTTAGATAAAACATTTTCAGAAGTTGTACAATCGTAATTTTAGTTACAAAAAAATATGTATTCATCACGAGCTAATTAGTCAGTACAAAGTCACTGAAACTTGTCGATAAAGTCACAGGGTGATTATGACTAGGTCAACTGAAGGTCATTAAAAGTTGTTGAAAAAATTACAATAATTCAACGAATACATTTCAGAGAAATTATGACCGAGGTCAAATTGGGGATTGAAAGCATATCTTTTGAACTCAGATATCAGGCTTTAACTGATGAACTGAGTTCAGATGGTGATTCCACACTCACTTCGAAATGTCTGACTTTGTAAACGACTTTATGGGAAGATTTTAGTGAGGCAGAATGACCTGAGTTAACCCGATACTCAAGAATCTAGGTGTTAATCGCTTTGCGATGTCCTCTAGACAGCTACTTAAGATTTTGTTCGGAGATATATTTGAATAAAACATGCCTTGTGCGATTCATGTAACCAGTTCCAAAACATCTGGTCAATGGCAAACACATATGGAGGTGGCCCAAAGTGGCAGCTGACTAGAGAAAATCAGACGTTTTGTGGGAAAGAAGGTCTTCTTCAGTGATTTAGACACCTAATTCCTGAGTATTTCCCTCATTTTATCTCCTTTGGACCTAATATTCATGGATAGTGTCTTCTTTGGAGCCGTAGAGGTTCTTTCTTAGAAGTGCTCAGGCTTCATTTCCTTCTCAGTGAGTTTTCAAGTATATTCATTCACATTTTAATTTGAAAAAGTAGTTTTCTGTGTCATCATGAATTAATTAGATTCCTCATAAAGATGAAGCCTAATCAGACTGAAAGTTAATAGTAGAAGCTTAGCAATACTTGTAGATGACTTCTGTAAGTGCAGAGTTGTGTTTCACCTGGAAGATTTTTGTGCATCGCACAAACGAGATCTGATAAGTAGGTGTTGATGATAAGGAATACTCAACTAAAAGTAGTGGTCGATTTTATTTATCTGAGTGAACTTACTGAAGTGAGACCTAGACGACTATGTAAAACAATATTATTTGGTCACGTGAGAATAAACAGTGGGTGGCAAACTGCTTAATACTAGAAGATGACCAAATTCTATTGGTTAGATTTTCACTGTGGTCACAGAGCTAGAATGATCATCTATGTGAGCTCACGGAACAGATTATTATTATTATTATTAGTCCCTTGGGTTCCTAATGGAACATAGGGCTTCAGTAGCACGTCTCCAGTGAACTATGTTCTCTGAAATCTTCTGAACCTGGTTCCACGACAATCCAGAAGCTCTCATTTCCTCCTCACACGATCTCCTTCATGTCACCCTTGGACGTCCAACTCGTCGCTTCCCATCGGGGTTCCACTCGACGACCTGGCACATGATGTCCTTAGTCGGCTTTCTCAGTGTATGACCAATCCATCTCCATTTTCTTCCAGTGCATATTTGTTCAGCGATAGGTTCTTGGTTGGTTCGTTCCCAGTGCTCCTTGTTGCTTATTCTTTCTGGCCATCTGATTTTCAGTAGCGAGCGTAAGCAGTTGTTGATGAATGTCTGTAGTTTGTTGGAAATCCTTATCATGACGCGACAAGTCTCTGAACCATACAGGAGCATTGACTTGACGTTGGTGTTGAAAATCCTGATCTTATTCACGCTTTGTGCTGGGTGCAGAAGATCTCCACACTGGTTTCAGGCTAATGAAGGTCTGTCTTGTTTTTCCGATTCTGACTTTGACATCTTCGTCTGTGTCGCTGCCTGTAGTTGAAACAGTGCTTCCTAGATAGGTGAAGGAGGTTACTTCCTTTAAGTTTCTCCCGCTGATGGTGACTGGAGTTTGTTGTTGTTGGTGGTGGTGGTGTTGGTGCGGTATCTTCATCACCTCTACCTATGTCTTC